TGAACAATGCGGGACTTTTCCTGGCTCTAAAATAACATTTTCTTTGTTCATCAGTCAGTCTCCGGGCCCCCTGTGATATTACTCTTGCTTTTTATTTTGAAATTTTATTCAAACAAAAAATAAAAAGATTTACTGTTATGCAGACTACTGCAATACTGTAATAATTGTAAAAATTACATCAACCCTTTCCCTGACTGCATATTAGAATGGCTATTTGGACATTTATTGGACAATGACATCATTTGTTACTTTTGAAAAATCGGCAAAAATCAAACATTTCCGTAATTTGTGCTCCATTTCAGGTTTCTTTTTATAGTAAAATTAATCAAAATCACCTTTTATTTCTATAATATAGTTTCCATTCTATCAAATGAGACCAAGAAAACGAAATACAAACCACAAATACTATACGAAAATAGACCACAAAGTTGGCATTTTAATTAAAAAAAACGGTCGGAGTTTTTTTTTCTCATTATGCACTGCGTGCTCCAGGATTTTTTTTATATGGTGCACACTGACCACACAGACCCATTCTCTCACATGTGGGCCTACCAGCTTTCTCCTGCCTGATTTGAAGCCGCTAGAATTTATGAGTATGTATACGTCAAACACGGTACCTCGTAAACGTATATATACGGCCGCGACAGTCAAAGGGTTAATCTTTGAAGAAGGCACCTCATCCACTCCCTATATTAACACCTTTCGCAACATCAGCTTCCTTGATTTGTTCTTTCTTTGACAGGATAGAACCTATGGTCAACTTGTTTTTCCCATACATCCTGGCAAGCTCTACAAGTCTCACACCACTCTTATACTTCTGTATTATTTCCTTCTTCACATCTATGGTGTTTCTCACTTTCTTTACCACAGGGGTACCACTAGCAAGTTTCTTTGGGCCCATGGCAGCTTATTTCACAGTCCCACAAGCAATAAATACAACGAAATAATCGTAAAATGCGTGAATGAGAGCGCAGGTTAGTGTTCACTCAAGCATAAACAAAGCTAGACTGCTCACGGCGCCTGCGTGGGGACGCGGACAGAGCGGGCGGCAGACAGGTCCCGTACCCGGCCGTCCGAAAATAGGGGCGTGTTCGATAATAGGGACACAGTTTGTCCGAAAAAATGGTCCTATTTTCGAAACATTCGATATGTGATACGTTCGATTTTTGAGGTTCCACTGTATAGTTAAAAAAAAGTGTTATGGATGGATTAATGAAAATGTGTATAATAATGTAATAAGAGTATATGATATTTAAAGCACCCCAGAGTGATTATTATTATTATTTTTTTTTATTAACACATCGGCCTTCTCCCACCAAGGCAGGGTGGCCCAAAAAAGAAAAACTTTCATCATTCACTCCATCACTGTCTTGCCAGAGGTGCACTTGCACTACAGTTATAAGACTGCAACATTAACACCCCTCCTTCAGAGTGCAGACACTGTACTTCCCATCTCCAGGACTCAAGTCTGGCCTACTGGTTTCCCTGACTCCCTTCATAAATGTTACTTTGCGCACACTCCAGCAGCACATCAAGTCCTAAAAAACATTTGTCTCCATTCGCTCCTATCTAACACACTCACGCATGCTTGCTGGAAGCCCAAGCCCCTCGCACACAAAAACCTCCTTTACCCCCTCCCTCCAACATTTCCTTGGCTGACCTCTACCCCACCTTCCTTCCACTACAGATTTATACACTCTTGAAGTCATTCTATTTTGTTCCAGCCTCTCTACATGTCTGAACCACCTCAACAACCCCTCCTCAGTCCACTGGATAATAGTTTTGGTAATCCCGCTCCTCCTCCCAATTTCCAAACTGTGAATTCTCTGCATTATATTCACATCACACATTGACCTCAGACATGACATCTCCACTGCCTCCAGCCTTATCTTTGTTGCAACATTCACCACCCATGCTTCAAACTCATATAAGAGCATTGGTATAACTATACATACTCTCATACATTCCCCACTTTGCTTCCATGGACAATGTTCTTTGTCTCCCCAGATTCCTAAGTGCACCACTCGTCTTTTTCCCCTCATCAATTCTGTGATTAACCTCACCTTTCGTAGACCCATCTGCTGACACGTCCACTCCTAAATATCTGAATACATTCACCTCCTCCATACTCTCTCCCTCCAATCTGATATCCAATCTTCTGTTACCTAATTTTTTGGTTATCATCATCACCTTACTCTTTCCTATATTCACTTTTAATTTTCTTCTTTTACATACCCTACCAAACTCATCCACCAACTTCTGCAATTTCTCTTCAGAATCTCCCAAAAGCAGTGTCATCAGCAAAGAGCAACTGTCACAACTCCCACTTTGTGTAAGATTCTTTATCTTTTCACCCCACACCTCTTGCCAACACTTGAGCATTCACTTCTCTTACAACCCCATCTATAAATATATTGAACAACCACGGTGACATCACACATCCTTGTCTAAGGCCTACTTCTACTGGGAAATAATCTCCCTCTTTCTTACATACTATAACCTGAGCCTCATATCCTCGTAAAAATTCTTCACTGCTTTCAGTAGCCTACCTCCTATTCCATACATTTGCAACATCTGCCACATTGCCCCCTATCCACCCTGTCATATGCCTTTTCCAAATCCATAAATGCCACAAAAAATCTCTTCATCCTTATTTAAATACTGCTCACCTATATATTTCATTGTAAACACCTGGGCTACACACTTCCTACCTTTCCTAAAACCTTCTTGTTCATCTGCTATCCTACTCTCTGTCTTACTCTTAATTCTTTCAATAATAACTCTACCATACACTTTACCAGGTATACTCAACAGACTTATTTCCCTATAATTTTTGCACTCTCTTTTGTCCCCTTTGCCTTTATACAAAGAAACTGTGCATGCTCTCTGCCAATCCATAGGTACCTTACCCTCTTCCATACATCTATTAAATAAAAGCACCAACCACTCCAAAACTATATCCTCACCTGCTTTTAACATTTCTATCTTTATCCCGTCAATCCCAGCTGCCTTACCCCCTTTCATTCTACCCACTGCCTCATGAACTTCCCCCACACTCACAACTGGCTGTTCCTCACTCCTAAAAGATGTTATTCCTCCTTGCCCTATACACAAAATCACAGCTTCCCCATCTTCATCAACATTTCACAGTTCCTTAAAATATTCCCTCCAACTTCCCAATACCTCTAACTCTCCATTTAGTAACTCTCCTTTGCTCTCCTATTTTTAACTATCAGATCCACTTGTTCCCTAGGCTTCCTCAGCTGATTAATCTCACTCCAAAACTTTTTATTTTCAACAAAATTTGTTGATAACATCTCATGTACTCTCTCATTTGCTCTCTTTTTACATTGCTTCACCACTCTCTTAACCTCTCTTGTTCTCTTTATATACTCCTCCCTCCTTGCATCACTACTGCTTTGTAAACACCTCTCATATGGTAACTTTTTCTCCCTTACTATTCTCTTTACATCATCATTCCACTAATAGCTCTTCTTCCCTCTCGCATCCACTTTCCTGTAACCACAAACTTCTGCTGAGCACTAACACTGCATTCTTAACCCTTTCAGGGTCCGTCCCGTAGATCTACGGCTTTACGTTCAGGGTCCAAACCGTAGATCTACGTCATGAGCTCAGCTCACTCTGATAAACTGTGAGTGGTACATTTGGGCCTAGATATGAGAGAATACATCTATGTGGTATGTGTGCACCACATAAAACAGATCCTGCAGCACACTGTGTATAATGAGAGAAAAAAAACTGAAATCATGATTTTTCGATTAAAACAGCGACTTTGCAGTGTTTTTTCGTATGTTTTTATAGTTGTATTTGCGATTTCTTGGTCTCATTTGATAGAATTGACACATATTACAGAAATAGAGATCATTTTGATTGGTTTTAGCACTGGAAATGGCTTGAACTGAGCTCAAAATAGCAGAAATGTTAAATTTTTGCCGATATTCAAGAGTAAACAAACGACCTCACACGTCTAATACACGCCAGCTGGTGGGTTTAATATGCATTCACAAATATGGTGATGATATTTATACAATTATTGCAGTATTGCATAACAGTAAATCTTCTATTTTTTGGTGTGAATAAAAATTCATTATGTGAATAAAAAATCAAAATGGAATTTATTTGTAAAGCCTCAAAACATAACTAATGAACAGAGGAAATGTTAGTTTAGTGCCAGGAATGCCTACATTGTTCATTCTGGACCCTATTTTGAAATTGGAATATTTTGAACTTTGTGTTAAATTGGCCAAATTAACAATTTCCGATCACTTTATTTTGTAGTTGAAACAGTTGACTTGGCGATTTCTTGTGCTCAATCGATAGAATAGAAGTAATACTAGTGAAATAGCTAAGAATTTGGTTGATTGGAATAATGTAATTGGCCTAAAATGGGAGTCAAAGTCGGCAAAATCGCCGATTCGTAAATATCGCTGACACATCAAAATTCGCGAGAGCATAATTTCGTCAATTTTCCACCAAATTTCGTCAATTTTCCACCAAATTTCGTACTTTTTGTTTTATTACGTTCAAAAAAAGATTCTCTACGATTTCATAAGAAAAAATAACAAATTTTTTTTTTTTAAATTCTTGACACTGGTGCGTGACTCCAGATTTGGGCCTTGGACCCTGAAAGGGTTAAACCTACCCAATACATCTTTGACCCCATTGCCTATACTTTCACTAGCCCATCTATCCTCCAATAGTTGTTTTTATCTTACCCTAACTGCCTCCCCTCTAGTTTATAAACCTTCACCTCTCTCTTACTTGCTGCTTCTATTTTCCTTGTATCCCATCTACCTTTTACTCTCACTGTAGCTACAACTAAAAAGTGATCGGATATATCTGGCCCCTCATAAACATTACATCTCTCTTATTTCAACTTCTATTTTCTCCTATGTATCCCAATCAAACTTTTATCTCTCAAATTGTACTGTATCCTTACCAAACCCCTAAAAAGTCATCAAAAGGCCCCCCAAACTTACTCCGAAGTCTCTCAAATTTTTTATTTACCATTTAGTCCAACAAACTTACTTTTCAAATTCCCTTTAAAATACTTACATCAAAATTCCTCTACCCAACCCCTTTCTATACAAATTCAGTCATGAGCCCGCCTGACTTATTTTACCACATATCCTTAAATTTTTCTCCTCTTTAGCATTTAATGCCTCCTCACACAATTTACTCTTACTCCCGGTGGTTCAAAAGTTCCGCTTCACACACTACCCCATTCGAATCTCCTTCCCTCTACACTTTTCCTTTCCCCTTTGTCCTGGTCACTAGCAGCATATTACGGGGAGTCCGACTGTTTCGCATCGGGGGACCAGATTAAACCCCAATGGAATAATTAACATTATAGTCCTCTTCTTGGTTTCCATGGGGGGCCTCCTTCAACATATTATCTTATCCTTATCTATCTCTAACTCTCTCAGATACTCCTGACTTAATCCCATTTATTTCTCCCCATTGAAACTCACCTACCCCCTTCAGCTTTGTTTTGTGTAGAGCTAGGACATCCAACTTCTTTTTATTCATAACATTAGCAATCATCTCCTTCTTATCATTCACAATACATCCACACACTCAAGCATTCCAGTTTTATAAAGTTTTTCTTCTCTTTTTTAGTATTTTCTACAGGAGAAGGGGTTACAAGTCCATTGCTCCCAGCATTTTAATCACCTCATACGACAAGAATGGCTTCCGGAGGAAAGATTCTTATCCACTTCCCCATGGAGAATAGAGGAAATAAAGAAGAACAAGAACTATTAAGAGAAAGAAAAACCTAGATGTGTGTATGTATATACAGTGGACCCCCACCTTACGAACGCATTGCGTTATGTTAAATCCGCCATACGAAGCATTTGAATGCAAAAATTTTGCCTCGCCTCATGATAAAAAACTCGCCTTACGTGATTCATCCGGGACATGTCCCATGTGTGGCCTCAGCGCCAGTGTTTACAAGCCAGCCAGTGCGGTTGCATCTACGCATACATTCGGTACATTTCACATTATCCCAGTGTTTTTAGTGCTTGTAACTGCAAAATAAGTCACCATGGACCCCAAGAAAGCTTCTAGTGCCATCCCTGTGGTAAAAAGGGTGAGAATTAGTATGGAATTGAATAAAAGAGATTAAGGAAATGTGTGCAAAGTGGGTTGAACTGCAAACCTTTACGGATGAAAATCACCATGACACAGCTACTGCAAGCCATGTTGGCAACCTGTACAATGACAATGTTATGGCCCATTTTAGGAAAGTCTTAAAGAAACGGGAGGTACAGAGCTGTATGGACAGATCTGTTGTGCGACAGAGGTCCAGTGACTCTCAAGCTGGTCCTAGTGGCATTAAAAGAAGTAGGGAAGTAACCCCGGAAAAGGACTTGCTACCTCAAGACCTAATGGAAGGGGATTCCCCTTCTAAACAATAACTTCCACACACTCCCCTCCTCCCATCCCATCAATCATCACCAGATCTTCAATAAAGGTAAGTGTCATGTATTCTATTCTTAGTAGAGTAGTAACTGTGCATGTCTTCTTTAGTTTGTGCGTATTAAAATATTTCATGTGGTAAAATTTTTTTTTTTCATACTTTGGGGTGTCAGGAATGGATTACAGTGGACCCCCGCATAACGATATTAATCCGTTCCTGAGAGCTCATTGTTATGCGAAATTATCGTTATGCGAATGAATTTTCCCCATAAGAAATAATGGAAATCAAATTAATCCGTTCCCGACACCCAAAAGTATGAAAAAATTTTTTTTTACCACATGAAATATTAATTTTAATACACACAAACTGAAGAAGACATGCACAGTTACATGACACTTACCTTTATTGAAGATCTGGTGATGATTGATGGGATGGGAGGAGGGGAGAGTGTTGATCTTCTTAGTGTTTAGAAGGGGAATCCCCTTCCATTAGGACTTGAGGTGGCAAGTCCTTTTCCGGGGTTACTTCCCTTCTTCTTTTAATGCCACTAGGACCAGCTTCAGAGTCACTGGACTTCTGTCGCACAACATATCTGTCCATAGAGGTCTGTACCTCTCGTTCCTTTATGACTTTCCTAAAGTGGTTCACAACATTGTCAGTGTAATAGTCACCAGCACAGCTTGCAAGAGCTGTCTGAGGGTGATTTTCATCCATAAAGGTTTGCACTTTAAGCCACATTGCACAGATTTCCTTAATCTTTGAAGTAGGCAACTTCTTCAATTTCTCTCTCCCCTCCTCCAAAGCAGTTTCCTCAGGTCTGCCCTCTTGCTGTTCAAGATGATCTAGCAGCTCATCAGTGGTTAGTTCTTCATTGTCCTCCTCCACCAACTCTTCCACATCCTCCCCACTAACCTCCAACCCCAAGGACTTCCCCAATGCCACAATTGATTCCTCAACTGGCATAGGATTCCCAGAGTTAGCCTCAAACCCTTCAGAATCCCTTTGGTCTACACATTCTGGCCACAGTTTTTTCCAAGCAGAGTTCAAGGTCCTCTTAGTCACTCCCTCCCAAGCCTTACTTATAAGGTTTACACAATTGAGGATATTAAAGTGCTCTCTCCAAAACTCTCTTAGAGTCAGTTGAGTTTCTGAGGTCACTACAAAGCACCTTTCAAACAGAGCTTTTGTGTACAGTTTTTTGAAGTTTGCAATAACCTGCTGGTCCATGGGCTGCAGGAGAGGAGTGGTATTAGGAGGCAAAAACTTGACCTTAATGAAGCTCATGTCCCCACAAAGTCGCTCTGCCAAGTCTGTAGGATGACCAGGGGCATTGTCTAACACCAGGAGGCACTTAAGGTCTAATTTCTTTTCAGTTAGGTAATTTTTCACATTGGGGGCAAATGATTGGTGTAACCAGTCATAGAAAAAGTCCCTAGTGACCCATGCCTTACTATTTGCCCTCCACAGCACACACAAATTAGCCTTGAGGATATTCTTTTGCCTGAACGCTCTGGGAGTTTCAGAGTGATACACTAATAAAGGCTTCACTTTGCAATCGCCACTAGCATTGGCACACATGAGAAGAGTAAGCCTGTCTTTCATAGGCTTATGTCCTGGGAGTGCCTTTTCCTCCTGAGTAATGTAGGTCCTGCTTGGCATTTTCTTCCAAAACAGGCCTGTTTTGTCACAATTAAACACTTGTTCTGGTTTCAGTCCTTCACTGTCTATGTACTCCTTGAATTCCTGCACATATTTTTCAGCTGCTTTGTGGTCTGAACTGGCAGCCTCACCATGCCTTATCACACTATGTATGCCACTACGCTTCTTAAATCTCTCAAACCAACCTTTGCTGGCCTTAAATTCACTCAGATCACTAGTTGCTGGCATTTTTTTAATTAAATCCTCATGCAACTTCCTAGCCTTTTCACTTATGATCGCTTGAGAGATGCTATCTGTTTTTTGCTTATCCACACCAATAAGAGTCTCTCAACATCTTCTATCACTTGCGATCTCTGTTTCGAAAGCACAGTTGCACCTTTGGCAAGAACAGCTTCCTTGATTGCCGTTTTCTTGCACACAATAGTAGCGATGGTTGATTGGAGTTTTGTGTACAACCTGGCCAGGTCGGAGACACGTACTCCACTTTCATAAACCATACCCCCGGCCGGGATTGAACCCGCGGTCATAGAGTCTCAAAACTCCAGCCCGTCGCGTTAGCCACTAGACCAGCTAGCCACAATAAGATTCATCCAACTAGGTATATTTCTACACCATAGGAAGGTTAGCACAGGCACCACTGTGACCACAAATGCAAGTTTTTACAGACGAATCTCCAGCTAGCGTGGCCGTGACGAACTCTAGCTCAAGTCCCGAGAGAACAAGTAAACAAGAGAGAACAAGTAAACAAGAGAGAACAAGAGAAATGCAGGGGATTGTAAACAAATTGAGAGTAAACAGGTGGTGGGCAGTCAGACGAATGCCTATTAATACCTGTCCATTTGCTGTTCATATGCATTCATTTCACATTTCTTTGTGAAGCTTTTTCCCCACAATACAAACACCTTACATTGTGTACAAGTTGTTTTCATGTTGTTGCAGTAGAATAAATAACAGCATCTCTCCCATTCTTATGCAACACAATTTTTAGAGCTAATAACATTATGAATGAAAGCATACAAAAGGAATATTTTTCTACAGTTATCCTTCCAGTAATACATGCTATACTATACTGTACACAGCTTCTTTGGTGATGGACTAGAGAAAACGTAATTCTTGCCATCCCTCCTACAAGTGACCCGCCTACCACATCTCGCATGTCAGTTTGTTCTATTATGGTTGTATGTATAAATGATATGTAGCATGTTTCTTATATAATTTTGAAAAAATATCTTGGATTAATGAAAATATCTATAATGACGTAATACAGTGGAACCTCTACTTACAAGTTTAATCCGTTGTTCGCATCTGGATTTGCTCGTTTTCAGAGTCAATTTCCTCATGCCTGGAATTCCAGTGGACTTCCAGGCATACAAAAATGCTTCAATATTTCCCTAATATCAACTCTACGGCTTATTTATCTATCACAATTCATCTAACATGACATAATAAACAATATTAATAACATAGAAACATGATATATACGCTAGAATGAATAAAATAAATGTCATTACGTATGTGGCTAGTGGTGGTGACAGCGGCCATTCCTGCTCCTGACTACAGTACATGTGTAGAGAACCTAGGATAACCCAAAAAAGTCAGACAGAGTGACTATAATTGCCACACTCTTAATGTTACACTTAATTGCTGCACTCGTAATGCTACACTTTGTCACTGACTCCTCCTGCTTTAGTAGTGGTACGCTGGTACTGCCTGGCCAAGTCCTTAACCCTCCACCTAGTTTGTTTATTTATGATTTCCTGCTTTAATTCCATGGAAATCATCCTCTTTTTCTTCTCAGCACTGTCCTTTGCACTTGCTTTCTTAGGACCCATTGTTAGAAACGAATAACTGCACGAAACGTAAGGAAAACACGAGAATTCCCTCCACCACGAGTGGAGTGGACTGAGCATTGTTTTGATACATACTGCCATCTCGTGATGGTGTTCGGAAACTCATAGTATAGGGTACAACAAGGTTGCTACCAGGGTACAAAAAGGTTGTTTTTAAGGTACAATGTCTGCCACTGCTGCTTCATGTTGTCTGCTGTTACAAGTAACGCGATTTCTAATAAGTATAGAGATCTCCAGTGAATACTAGAAAGGACTGTCCTTCTAGCATTCAGCCTGTTACTGGGTTTTCGTAACAAGTAGTCAGTATCCTGGTCCAATTATCCATTATAATTCAATAAGAATTATTAGTGCTTCAAGATTACAACTGGTAGGCTACTAACTAGAGAAATTAAAATTTATTAAGTTTATTAATAATAATGTCTAGAGGTAGAAGATCAAAGTAAATTAAATTAATCAATTGAAAATAATATAGGATACAAGTTCCTACACTTCTCTCGTGTACAGTAGTATTGTGCTGAAATCACTTATCACATTTATACGTCTTAAGTACCGTCTGGTACATTAACATTTAATAAGATATTACAAATATGTACAAGTAAATTTGTGTGTGTGTGTGTAAGTGCTCTAAGTAGTTCGCTATGTCTCAAGACTCGACTAGACTTAAACCAGTGACTGACAAAGTCCTCACATCAACTAACTTCTTGACTGCCTGGCAATCAGAACAGCTTGCTTGAACAATAAAACAATTGCTAAGCCCAATAGCAATATAACAAGCAACTGCAACACAGAATCAGGATCAAGGAGATAATATAACGACACTAAGTAGGGACCATCTGCACATCCTCCACAAAAGTCACAAAACTCCCATACTACTGAATCTAAGTTCAGCATAAGAAAATCCCCGACTGTGACAGTACCCAGATACCAGTACAAATTAGGTCAGAAGCTACAGCTCAGGACCCGAGTTGCTCAGAGTGTCTATGCGACACACAACCTCAGTACAACGTCGAAAATCACTAAGTCTAGACAATGTTCTGTGAACAAAGTTCTACAGAACCAACAACAAGAAAGTGACAGAGACGATCTTCCAACAAGGGCCAATAAGGGAGAGTTAGGCGCGTCTTGTCAGGAATACGTCCAACCACCAAGAGAGTCTAGCCCAGACTGACTACTCCAGGCGAGGTGTGAACTCCCCCCCCTCGATCACGTGATTGCTCCGTGGACAGTTGCTGCCCAGCAACACTGAGAAGCCGGCAGGGAAACGAGCAATGAGCGATAATTACAGTAGTTAGACAATCAAGACTTGAACTATTAGCACTGAATAATATATAGTATATGTTACATCCTACCTAATAAAAGTAACTAAGTCAGATAATATAAAGCAATATATTTACGATTTAGCTATTATCGCAAATATAAGCAATATAAAATTATATGAAAAGGTAATACAGTATACATTATATACATTGTGACCCATTCAGGGGTCGCAACATCTGCCACTGTGGTTTCTTGTTGTCTGCCACTGCTGCTTCATGATGTCTGCCACTGCTGCTTCATGTCGTCTGCCACTACTGCTTCATGTTGTCTGCCGCTACTGCTTCATGTTGTCTGCCACTGCTGCTTCATGTTGTCTGCCACTGCTACCTCATGATGTCTGCCACTGCTGCTTCATGATGTCTGCCACTGAAGCTGCTTCATGTCTGCCACTGCTGCTTCATGTTGTCTGCAACTGTTGCTTCATGTTGTCTGCCACTGCTGCTTCATAATGTCTGCCACTGCTGCTTCATGTTGTCTGCCACTGCTGCTTCATGTCTGCCACTGCTGCTTTATGTTGTCTGCCACTGCTGCTTCATGTTGTCTGCCACTGCTGGTTCATGTCTGCCACTGCTGCCTCATGATATCTGCTCCCGCTTTTGCTAGCGTGTTGAAGAGCTTTCCAATATGTGAAGGTTGAGGGGCAGTGCCAATTGGACAGGTATTGGATGGTGATGTCATTTGTTTACTCTTGAACATCGCCAAAGAATCTAACATTTCTGCTATTTTGAGCTCAATTTCAAGGTACTTTTCATCGTGAAACCAATCAAAGTCATATATATTTCTGTAGTATATCTTCCATTCTATCAAATGAAACCAAAAAAAAAAAACGAGAATGCAACCATAAAAACCATACGAAAATATACCGCTAAGGGGAGGCTAATGGCTGAGAAGAGAACTCCATTATTTATAGTCCAATTTCTTTCAGTTTTAGTGTACGTTAAGAAGCATCTTTCCATCATACATTGCCCGTTTCAATAAGATAGTCCAACAAACTGAGATCCAATTCCCTAGATCAAGAGCAAGAGCCCCTCACCAGCATCAAGGAACCTCCCATGAGGCTCGCTCGCATCTGGAAATTTTGCTCGCGTCTGGAAGCAAAAAATATGCCGAGCGACTTCTCATATTTGGAAAAACTCACACGTGGATGCACTCGTAAGTAGAGGTTCCACTGTACCTTTCTTGTACCACTTGTCAGACACTGCAACATCATGGAATCTTGGTTCACAGGACATCTACAAGACCTTCTTCACGGCTATTACAACTAACCCATCCCTTTGGGTAGGACCTACTTCCACTGGGGAATCCCGCCTACCAGTGGCTATGCCCTCGTCTGCTACACATCCCTTCCACTGACGCCTATATAACCGCCAGTCTCCTTACCTTTGCTCCAGATTCTCCACCACCACAATGCTGTGAACACTAACTCCAAGGCTGAGGGACTGATTACCTCATCTTTTGTATATAGTTCTACTATCTTCTAATTATGTCCTAGAATCTGTATTGATAAAGCCACTGGATGGCGAAACGTCTACAATAAAGATAACCAGATGTTGCACATGTGTCTTAACTTTCATATTGTCAGTATTTTGTACCTTTCTTGTACAACTTGTCAGACACTGCAACATCATGGAATCTTGGTTCAGAGGACATCTACAAGATCTTTTTCATGGCTACTACAACTAACCCATCCCTTTGGGTAGGACCTACTTCCACTGGGAAATCCCGCCTACAAGTGACTATGCCCTCGTCTGCTACACGTCCCTTCCACTGACGTCTATATAACCGCCAGTCTCCTTACCTTTGCTCCAGATTCTCCACCACCATGATGCTGTAAACACTAACTCCAAGGCTGAGGGACTGATTACCTCATCTTTTGTATATAGCTCTACTATCTTCTAATTATGTCCTAGAATCTGTATTGATAAAGCCACTGGATGGCGAAACGTCTACAATAAAGATATCCAGATGTTGCACATGTGTCTTAACTTTCAGATTTATACACTCTTTTGTTCAACCTTTCTTACTTCATTCTCTTTAAATGGTCAAATAATCTCAGCAACGTTTCCTCCACTTACTGAAATATACCCTTCATACCATCTCTCTGGGTTTATGACCATTAACTAGCTTCTTCCTAACTACATTATTATAATCATGGGAAAGCACTAAACCCATAGGATTATACAGTGCATGTGGGGGGGGGATGGAAGGTATTCAGGCTCAATTCAGGGAACTGGAGCAGAGATCCAATTCCCTAGATCAAAAGCCCCTCACCAGCATCAAGGAACCTCCCTTGAGGTTATTATAATGTTATTTTTCTCTTGTTGCTTTGTTAACCTCTTCAGGATTCTTGTTTGTTTTATCTGTTATATTTTGCTTTTACAGGATAATCTTTACCTTGTTCACAGGATTGAATTGCATGATAAGGTGCATTTGTTTGTTTTGCCAGGACTGGTGAGCCATGAACAAGGGAATGTTAAAGCGGCTGCTGTCAGCATTGATGTATGGCGTCTGCTCCTTCCTTATTGTGGTGGTTAATAAAACTGTCCTTACATCCTACAAGTGAGTACTCATAACCCTTGTACATAGCAGCTGTCCTTGGTTGTTTATTTTTATATCACCAGTAATATTTTCTTGCACCTTTTTTCAGGTATTTTTAAAATCATATCGTGGAAATGTTGGGCATGTTTCCTTATACCTGTTGTTCTGTTCACCTAGCAGTAAGTAGGTACCTGGGTGTTAGTCGACTGACGTGGATCCCATCCAGGGGGTGGGGGGGTAGTATACCTCAGATAGGGCTAGGCTTTGAAATGAGCAGAGGTAGGATAACAGTTTTTATTCTGTAAAAGTGATTTAGTGTAAAAAAATAGAGAAAAACACATACACACACACACACACACACACACACACACACACACACACACACACAACACACACACACACACACACACACACACACACACACACACACACACACGAAAATAGGGAGATCAGTCGCAGAGCAGGAATGAGTACGCACAGGTAAGGAGGGAGGCCAGCGACAGTATGAAAATGACATAGCATCGAGAATCAAGACTGACCCGAAACTGTTGTATAGCCACATCAGGAGGAAGACAACAGTCAAAGACCAGGTGATCAGATTAAGGACAGAAGGTGGAGAACTCACAAGAAATGATCAGGAGGTATGTGAGGAGCTGAACAGGAGATTTAAGGAAGTTTTACAGTAGAGACAGGAAGGGCTGTGGGAAGACAGCACAGAAGGGAACATCAAGAGGGAATATACCAACAAGTGTTGGATGACATACGAACAACTGAGGAAGAGGTGAAGAAGCTCTTAAGTGACCTTGACACCTCAAAGGCGATGGGACCGGACAACATCTCCCCATGGGTCCTTAGAGAAGGAGCAGAGATGCTGTGCGTGCCTCTAACCACAATCTTCAACACATCCCTTGAAACTGGGCAACTATCTGAGAAATGGAAGACAGCTAATGTAGTCTCCATATTTAAGAAAGGAAACAGAAACGAGGCACTAAACTACAGACCTGTGTCTCTGACATGTATTGTGTGCAAAAGTCATGGAAAAAGATTATCAGGAGGAGAGTGGTCGAACACCTGGAAAAGGAACAAGATTATAAAAATTGAAAACCAGCTGGGTTCATGGAAGGCAAATCTTGTATCAAAAACCTCCTGGAGTTTATGACAAAGGTAACAGAAGTAAGAAAGGGAGAAGAGGGGGGGGTTTAATTGCGTTTTCCTAGACTGCAGAAGGCCTTGACACAGTTTCCCACAAGAGTTTAGTAGGCCGAAGTGGAGGATCAGGGCAACGTAAAAGGGGGGGCATGCAATGGATAAGAGAATACCTGACAGGGAGGGCAGCAACGAGTCATGTACGTGAAGAGGTATCACAGTGGGCGCCTGTTACGAGCGGGGGTCCCACAGGGTCAGGTCTAGGGCCCAAAGTGCTATTTTGATATTTGTGACAACATGATGGAAGGAATAAGACCTGAATGCCCGGGTCGCAGATGACATGAAGTTATGAGAAATTTTAAAATCGGACAAGGAGAGGCAGGACTGCAAGAGACCTGGACAGGCTGGACATGGCCGCATGCTCTGGGAATTCAATCCGCCAATGCAAGTTCACGAAGATTGGGGAGGGGCAAAGAAAACCGCAGGACAGGTATGGCAGGTGGACAAAGAATACAGACCTCCTCAGGGAAGCTTTAGGGTGACCATAACACCGAGCACATCACCGGGGCACACATCACACCAAATAACCGCTGCAGGCATACGGGTGCCGGCAAACCTGGGAATAGCGTTCCGATACCTTAATAAGGAATGTTCAAGACACTGTACACTGTGTATGTTAGGCCCATACTGGAGTATGCAGCACCAGTTGGAACCACACCTGGCCCAAGCACGTCAAGAAGTTAGAGAAAGTACAAAGGTTTGCAACAAGGTAGTCCCAGAGCTCAAGGGAATGTCGTACGAGGAAAGGTTAAGGGAAATGGGAAACTGGACGACACTGGAGGACGAAGGGTCAGGGGATACATGAAAACGACATACAAGATACTGCGGGGAATAGACAAGGTGGACAGGATAGGATGTTCCAGAGAGGGGACACAGGGACAAGGGGGTCACAACTGGAAAACTGAAGACTCAGACGAGTCACAGGGACGTTAGGAAGTATTTCTTCAGTCTTTGAGTTGTCAGCAAGTGGAATAGCTAGCAAGTGAAGTAGTGGGGGCAGGAACCATACATAGTTTTAAGAAGAGGGATGACAAAACTCAGGAAGCAGAGAGAGAGAGGATCCAGTACGATTCAGTGAAGAGGCGGGGCCAGGAGCTGAGTCTCGACCCCTGCAACCACAATTAGGTGAGTAAAAACACACACACAAAAACACACACACACACACACACCACACACACACACACACACCACCACACACACACACACCACCACACACACACACACTTCCTACTTTTCTCTTCTGACTCTTTTGTGTTTTCAACTTCCAATTGTGGCCTCTTGTTTCTGTGTCCCCTCCCTGGAACACCCTTCCTTTCCACCTTGTCTTTTTCCAGGGAGATTTTATATGCTTATCATGTCTCCCCTACCCCCTGTCCTCCAGTGTCGTCGGGGCCGATTTCCCTTAATCTTTTTCTAACATTCCCCTTAGCTCTGGAACTAACCTTGTTGAAAACCTTTGTACTTTCTCTAGTTTTCTTACGTGCTTTATATTGGGGGTTCCAAACGGGTGCTGCAACTCCAGTATGGGCCTACAACACGGTGTACATGTCTTGAATGACTCCTTCAAAGGGGATCGGGGCCGGGGAGCTCGGACTGGGCCCCGCAACCTCAACTGGGTGAGACTAGGGGACCGCTTTCGAATTAAATCCACCCAAATGCAAAGTCAAAAGATTGGGGGGGGGCAAAGAAAACCGCAGACAATATAGCTAGGGGGACAAAGAATACAGACCTCACTCAGGAGAAGGCAGAAGCTAGGCATCGGGCCCGCATAAAAACGGGAAGGGCCTGCAAGGTCAGAAATACCTGACGGGGAGCAAAAACGGTCATGGTCAAATGTGTATCACAGGGGCACCTGGACGAGGGGGGTCCCACGGGGGTCGGTCCAGGACCGTGCTATTTTTGGAATGTGAACGACATGACGGAAGGGTTAGACTAAAGAAGTGTCTCTGTTTGCAAAATGATGTGAAGTTAATGAGGAGAATTAAATCTGATGAGGACCAGGCAGGACTTCAAAGAGACCTGGACAGACGGACACCTGGTCCAGCAAATGGCTTCTCGAATTTAATCCTGCCAAATGCAAAGTCATGAAGATGGGGGAAAAGGGCACAGAAACCACAGACAGAGTATAGGCTAGGGGGCCAAAGACTGCAAACCTACTCAAGGAGAAAGATCTTGGGGTGAGTATAACACCGAGCATGTCCCCGGGAAAAGCACACATCAATCAGATAACTGCTGCAGCATATGGGCGCCTGGCAAACCTGAGAACAGCATTCCGATACCTTAGTAAGGAGTCATTCAAGATACTGTACACCCTGTATGTCAGGCCCATACTGGGTAATGCAGCACCTGTTTGGAACCCGCACTTGATAAAGCACGTCAAAAAACTAGAGAAAGTACAAAGGTTTGCAACAAGGTTTGTTCCAGAGCTAAGGGGAATGTCCTATGAAGAAAGATTAAGGGAAATCGGCCTGACGACACTGGAGGACAGGAGGGTCAGGGGAGACATGATAACGACATATAAAATTTCTGCATGGAATAGACAAGGTGGACAAGGACAGGGTGTTCCAGGGAGGGGACACAGAAACAAGAGGCCACAATTGGAAGTTGAAGACACAAATGAGTCAGAGAGATAGTAGGAAGTATTTCTTCAGTCATAGAGTTGTAAGGCAGTGGAATAGCCTAGAAAATGAAGTAGTGGAGGCAGGAACCATACACAGTTTTTAAGACGGGGGTTTGATTAAGCTCATTTGGGGTGGGGAAGAGGAGGCCTAGTAGCAACCGGGTTTAAGAGGCGGGGCCCGGATCTAGGACTCGACCCCTGCAACCACAAATAGGTGAGTAAAACACACACCCCACACACACACAACACCCCACACACACACAAAACCTGGAGCTCCATGGGGGTCCCCAAACATGGAGGGCCAAGATGATGGATGTGGTTTCTGGAAAACCTCATGCATCAACATGTTAGAGACACTACCAGAGAGAGAGGAGAGGATGAACCAGCAAGATGGACCTTGTATTCACCTTGAGTAGTTCAGCATCGGGGGGATATCATGATGAAAGGCCCCTGGGAGCTAGTGATCATGTGGTTCTGTGCTTCGACTACATAGTTGAGCCCCAAGTGGAGAGAGTAGCAGGAAAAAGGGGTGGGAAAAAACCAAACAACAAAAGGGGAACTATCAGGCATGAGGAACTTCCTTCAAGAAAATTCAGTGGGAGAGGGAACTAAGGAAAACCAATACAAGAAATGATGGACTATGTAGCAACAAAATGCAAGGAGGCAGAGGAGAGGTTTGTTCCAAGGGAAACAGAAATAATGGGAAGAACAGAAAAGAAATCCTTGGTTCACCCAAAGGTGTAGGGGGGCAAAAACTAGGTGTAATAGAGAATGGAAAAGGTACAGAAGACAGAGAACTCAGGAAAATAAAGGATTAGCCGAAAAAGCCAGAAACGAATATTGCACAGATAAGAAGGGAGGCTCAGCGACAATATGAAAATGACATAGCATCGAAAGTCAAGACTGACCCGAAGCTGTTGTACAGCCACATCAGGAGGAAAACAACAGTCAAGGACCAGGTAATCAGACTGAGGAAAGGTGATGGGGAATTCACAAGAAACGACCGGGAGGTATGTCAGGAGCTCAACACGAGATTTAAAGAAGTATTTACAGTGGAAATCAGTAGGACTCCAGGAAATCAGAACAGGGGGGTACACCAGCAAGTGCTGGATGAGGTACATATAACCAAGGAGGAGGTGAAGAAGCTGCTATGCGAACTTGACACCTCAAAGGCGGTGGGACCAGACAACATCTC